CAGCGTGCAGAAAATGTTGCAGCCAAGCGACCACAGTTACGCATTGTGTCTGTTACTGGTTTTCATGACAACGAAGAGATGTCTGCAGATGCCTTATCTATCAGAGGATATGGTCATTATCGCTGTGATGATTATCATCTTGGTAGGTCATTTTAAACCATATTATGAACACAGAGAACAAGTTTAGCTGTTTGTTGGTCTCTAGCCTCCTCAGCAAGCAACCCATAATTTGCATTTTTGGGATTCCTGTGGAATCCTATTTGCCAACTTGTAATCCCATTTATAATCTCTTACAATCATATCAAAACTTACACAAAGAGAGAGTAGTCTCAAGGAGACTACTAAAATAGGAGACCTTTGTAGTTAGTATCCWCTGCAGTCTACCGGCCTTAGTGTTGGGCTTCCTGTGCCCTTGTCAGTGCATGTGGTGACAAGAACSTACATCACATCAAACATAACCAATCTTCAAATCTTCTCTGCACTAAAACTTTCCGTTATTTCTATATTATGTTACTTCAAATAATATAAAACATCACTTTTACAGTTGATGCAGTTGAACATTCAAGAACACAAAGTTTTGAGTGTTAAAGTGCTACTTGCATGAAAATGGCCTCATTTCAAAACTTCAAGCATTACAAATATATGACTCACATAATATATATCTATTAAAAACAATTGTGGGAAAATATTTGTTTTGGAATTCATCAGAGAAATTTTGATTCAAAAGRTGGAAGAACAAAAGGATGGAGTAAATGATGTCATCTACTCCAACATTTTTTGCCCAAATTATTAAGGATTTGTATCAATATCTTCTTAAAATCTGTTGCTTCATGGTTATTAGATCCATATGGATAGTTCTATTTGATTTCCAAGTCTTTTCTAATATTTTGCAATTTTCGTCCAAGTAGCTCTTTAATAAGAATATTTGTATTAAATTTTCCTCTATTTTCAAATAGAATTTTACCTTCTGTTTCTCTGTTTCCAGCAACTTTAACTATTTTTAAGAATTTCAACTCTTCAGCCATTTCTAGGCTGCTTATTTCCTATTATTTATTTCAAAAGAAGCTTTTCCTGTTTTCTCGGTTGAAAAGAAAAAAAGAAAAAGTCCCCACCTACTGCTTGTGTTCCTAAGCTTTTGTTGAATACAATATGGTTGAAATGGCAATTGTGATTCAAATTATTGGTAAAAATGCTACTGACCCTTTGAGACTGATTGGCTTTCGCTTTCATTGTTTACATATTTGACGTAAACTATTATTCCATATAGTTACTATGGTTTTATTCAATCTTCTGAAGCATAACAAAGGAAAACGAAATATCGAATGGTTCTTTATATTTAGTGGGAAATTTAGATAATCACATTTATCAAGTGTTTCTCCCTTTTTTCCTTGTCTTTGACTATTCTCTTTTTTATACCAAATAAATACCCCAAACCATTTTGTTAGTACCCACATAATTTTCATAGCTGTTTTCCTGTTCAAAGAATTCAAACTGGATGGCAATTACAAGGAAGTCGTTACAATGTGCTGCAGTAGTGTTGTTTTTCATATTTTCTTGAGGATAGAGAACACAAAAATAATGCAATTTCCCATTTTTCACCTTAATGACAAAATACCTTACATAGGAAAATTCAGACTCAGGGTGCACAATGTGAATTAAAGCATGGATTTCACTAGCGCATAAGCATAGCATAATCACAAGCATGAGAATCATATGTGCCAGTGAGAACAGGCTCGACATAAGCATAAGACATTGAGCATGCGCACGAGCGTATTATTTCGGTACTAGGCTATGCTTATGCCTATGCAGTTCCGTTCTCACTGAGCATAAGCATGAAATAAGCATGAGATAAGCACAAGAAGATCAAGCCTTGTTGGTTTTTCTTGTGCTCATGCTTATGCTTATTTTGAGCCTGTTCTCACTGGCGCATATGACTCTCGTGCTTYGTGCTTATGCCTATACTTATGCGCTAGTGAAATCCACGCTTAACCTGTCCATATATTACACATCCATGCATGGTGGGAATATTTAACTACAGAAAAATCACCATAATAASTTTTCAGTAATGCACGTCTTTCTAACTTTGACTTCGGGACATTCATTAACCCATTGCAGTAMGAAACACGTGTCACGTTTGCTACAAGTTTTGGACACGTCCAAATATCAATATTTACTCCCTCTGCGGTCCTTTTCGTGGTACTTAGAAGTCCAAGCTTATCCATGTCWATCGGGAGATAYAGRTGATCAGCTTTTATATATTCAGGCTTTGGGTGRAAAAAGTCTGGGTTTGAAGCGAGAGATTTTTTTAAGACGGTGAATTGTTCAGTAGTCATGCAAACATCGATGTCGTGTTCCCAATAAAGTGGCTGGTCGAGACCTCTTTGAACAGCTAGAAGATCCCCCATAGTTAACCACCACTCGGTGATCCCATTGGACTGCGCAAATTTGGCAAACTTTAGAAGTTTTKTACACATTGCTTTTGTGATGCTTGGATGTTGTGCACACCAGAGACCATTRGCTGATAAATAATACACAACCATACATAACGAAAGGAGGACGGCAATAACATGGGTTTTCCAGCGAAGAAACATGTTCCTTGYCGWGAACCCAAGACCACGTTGGGTTTTGATGAGCACAACAAACGAAGGAAACACTAGAAGAAATGATATGTTGAAGCTGTGGATTCCCATGCCGTAATACCCGTGTAAGCCACGATGAATCAATACTGCAGTACAACCTCCAGAGMACAGCATGATCAACGTGTAAATTAAGTGMGATTTCATGCCCATCCCGTGAGTAAAGTACAGTGTAACAAGAGGGTAGCACAAAATCACGCAATCAACGTAAACACAGTGTAAACAGGGGAAAAAGGCACTAAATGTCCTGGAATGCAAACGACGCTAATAAAGAGTGAGATACATCCTGGTTGACACGGAAACACTAACAAAACACTCCTGGGCTAGTGAATGATTTTCCGAGTAAACACGTTCCGGTTGTTCGTGTGTAATTTTAATGCCCTCGAATTTGTGCGCATGCGCAGGGCTTTTAAAAAACACAGGGATACCAACATCTTGTTCAATCCGCGTTTTTTTTAGATATTTTTTTTGTCTTTTGTTTTTAAGGTCTTTTGTTTACGGATATTGGATATTGTAAAAAAAAAAGTTGCTGAGCAGATTTCAGAAAGCTGTAAAATATGCTATTGCTACTTAAGGGGACAGTGTCAATGGATGATGATATGCGCGAGTAAACTTAAGTTGGCGCGACATAACTCAGATCGTAAACGTAAACAGATCTAGAATATTGCAAAGTGTGTCAAAAGCACCACAAAATGATTTACCTCGAAGGTTATACTTTCAAAGTCCGTTAGAAGTGAGACTGTTACTGCGCATGTCATCCATTGACAGTGTCCCTTAAACACTATATCCTATAAGGGTGTTATGTATCAAAATTTTAGATTAGTTTAGTTTTTTAAATTGAAACAAAATTATTTAAATCATTACAAATTGTTTTACAGGATTTATAATTAAAAACATTAAAGTTAAACAAAGATACGAATAACTAATCATGATATATTATAATGATATTGTTGTTGTATTTTCCCAACAGAAAATGTAGCAGAGGACAACTTGTTCTATATTGTTAGTCCTAAGGACATTGTTCTAGCTAAGGTATGGAGTTATAAGCTTTAGGCCACACCTTATCTGCAACAACTGCATTCAACTGCACTTGTCTTTTTTTAWTAAAAATATAWATACTGTGCWAAAGAAGTGCAGCAGAATAAACAAAATTAGCATAAAGTTAGAGGCCTTGTGCATGGACGGTCACATGGTACTAAATCCTATATTATAGATGGCAAAAGTATGTMAACAACCTCAAAAACAAAAGGAATGCAGCCCATCAAGCTTGACKTTTTTATGTTTTGAACATCCCAATGGGTATTTTTCTATCYRGYATRTCCGATTTAGTACTATGTGACYRTTTCATGCAAGAGGCCTATATTGAATTTTTGTGGCTATATAAGATTTAGCACATCTGGAAGAACATGTTGATGCTAAAATGATTTATTATAATTTTATTGTCTTTCAGCCAAGAGATATGGATGATCACATCAGCTGGTTAATGCAGCATAGCAAATATGAGGTCAGCTTTCATAATATATAAAGATAAAAGTTTAATTAATTATGATCATTTTGGAATTATTTGATGAAATTTTTTGAAATTTTTGAGATAGAGAATAATTATTTTTCAGGAAGCTTTGTCAGCTGTTGAATTTCATAGAAAAGAAGTCAAGAAGCACAATTACCAGGTAAAGCACTATCTAGTTATTAGGTGCTGTGAATGGTACACTAGCTCTTGGATTCTCAGTTTTTGAATCCTCAGTTTTGCAGTGTCATTTTTTCGCCTATTAGTCTCAGTACCAGCGCTGTAACCAGAGGGAAATGTTAACCGAGGCACTTTATGCGACCAGCGGAAGCGGTCGTATCTAGGGGGTTCACGGGCATGCTTCCCCGAAACATTTTGAAACGCGATTTTCAGTGTTTTGCCAAGCATATTTTAATTTTTTTATCTTACCATTGATCAAACTTCTTTATTTTGGATACGAATTAAAGAGAACTCGATAAAAGTTTACTGAGGGAAGTGCCTCGCTTGCCTGATCATAGCTACGGTGCTGAATATAGTACTGTTGTCTAAATCTCAGATATGAAAACCTCACTATCACAAAATATATTGGAATGGACTTTTGCCACCCCTTTTATTATATCAGAATGAATGGTCACCACCAGGGGTAGTCAGAGGGGGGCCGGATGGACCAACACAAAATTATTTATATTTGTACCCCCACTTATCTTATGAAAGTTTGCTTTTTCCTTCAACTGTTCCATTCCCCATTAAAGGAAATTGGGCGTGCCTACCTGAAGTCATTAATGGACAGTGAAAACTATGAGCAAGCAGCAAGGTATTGACTTCTTAGACCAATACACCTTTTCAGTTGCTCTTAGGCCTCGACAGTGTGTTAAATATTCTTTTGAATTTGTAAGAATATGTGAGCAATGCAAACATTGATATGAATTAGTCTCATTTGTCAAATTCAAAAGAATTATTAATTTGCTATCGAGGCCTAAATGCAACTGAAAAGGTGTATTGACTATGATTTTTTAGCATCCTTCATTATAGCTTTCTGATTTTGATTATTGGACTAATAGTATCTTTCTATACTAAAGAAGACTTATGGCCACAGCCCACTGCGCCCTTGAACTATTGCACACAAGCAAAAGGGTCCATAAGAACTTACATATGCATGTGTTTTAATTTCTGTTTCTATTGAATGATATCTTGTATGCAGATGCAAGTGTTCTCCTGGATCTTTCTCTCCTATATCCAATTTAGTCAACAGAGCATACTAAAAAGGGCCTGGGACTGGACTACTATTGCCTATAATGCAGTGCATCCTATCGTTTTTTCCCTCTTATTAGGGGATGKCATAGAATTCATAATCTTATTGGTCAGTTGTTTTCAGGGTTCGTGCTACTACTTGAAGTGCTGGAAAAGTCCTGGAATTGAAAACTCGTTTTCAAGGGCGCTTGAAGCCCTTGAAAATGGGGAACATGGCTGAAATTCCTCAAAAATCTTCTTGAATCTGATAAAAATTGACATTAACTTGCTTGTTAGCTTTTGGATTGAAATGTCTGGAAACATAAAAAAATATCACTTGAAAATTGCTTTTTTTTGCTTAAAAAGTACTTGGAAAGTCCTGGAATTTTGTAGTGAAAATGTAGCACAAACCCTTTCTTTTATATTCTATATAATCTAGAAACTGGTATCTGCTTTATGCATTTTTTGAATAACATCAAATTAGCTATACAACCAGAATATGATAATTACTTGATTCATTTAGAATATGTGTCAAAGTTCTCGGTGATGATAAAAAACTCTGGGAAGATGAAGTTTACAAGTATGCAAGAAAGAACCAGCTGAAGGTATCAAAAAATGATTATAATAGTTTTAGGTAATGTTATTTGAATTATGATCAGGAGACCACAGCTCATAAAGGTTGGACACAAATATTTTAATGTTGTTTATCAAATTACAACATACTGTATATTTAGCTTAAATATATTTTGCAACTCAAATTAAAATATCACTTTTAAGAGAAAATCAAAGTTAAAGTCATACTTATGCAAATCAGGACAAATCTCTTGCTCATAATTATAAAGATGTKGTCACGGCAATGATTYCATTGTGAACTTATGAATTATCAATGAATTTGATAACTTTTAGATTATAGCAATCTGGGCGAATCTGTGCTCTGTTGTCAAGTACAAGAAAATCATCACATTTCCGATCTTTGTTGATAGTTTGTTTATAATTATTTTTCTGCAATTTAGTATCAATATTTAAGGTTAATTTTCAATATGATTGGATTTTTTTCTTTGAGGGTAACATTTAGTTGTGCTGCAATTGCTGATCTATTTTTTCAAAGACCCATATATAAAAGATTGTTATTATATGACTGGATAGCAAGCTAAGAAATGCTAACTTGACTGTTTACAGGCCATAGCTCCCTTCATACCTAGAGGCAAAGTCAAACTCAGCTCAGCCATTTATGAGATGGTTCTTTATGACTTCCTAAAAACTGATTACCAGGTAAAMTCCACATTATAGMCAGAATCGAAACATTGRCCATAAGGAATAGGCTCAGAGGWCAAGTTCTTACAGTGATTAGACAGTTCTTTAATGAGGCAAAGTCAGGATAAAATAGCTGTCCATGGTATTTACTTTATCTGGCTCATTTTTGAGCCCACAGCTTCTTCTTCAGTGGCTTTTACTTMTTGTTATCATATTAAGTTTACCTTAATCCATGTCATATGACAGAAATTTCAGGATATGATCAAGGAATGGCCAGCTGAGCTGTACAGTATACAAGCAATTATAAGTGCAGTACAGGTAGGTTGCAACTGGGATGTGGCTATATGCATATTTCAAGAAAAGTTATCGGAAAAAATAACGACGATTGCGTGATCAAAATGAGCCTTGGGGTTTTGCAAATTGATGGGAAATAATAACTCATTTATACTGTAAGATATTGTAAGGCTATTGTAAACATTGTCTCCATTTAGTCTACATTTTCAATGAGTAAGGCTAACCCAGCAAGTGAAGTTTTAGTACCATGGCCATGCGATCGCCACTCGACAATAGCCGTTCACCGTTATCCCTGACAACGTTTTTTGTCATAAGTGTATATATTTTTTTCCCATTTATTTTATATTTTTTTTGTCATTTACAAATGCATCTTAATTGAATAATGTGGCTGCTTCTTCTTTTATAGGAACAGCTTGAGAAAGATCCCAAGAATCAAGTTTTACTTGAAACACTGGGAGAAATGTAAGAATTGATGTCATTTTTTATGTGAATGTCGTTTTATCTTCCATTGTCTTCCTCACAGTTCTCTGCRCCGCCTTGAAATATAAATTACCATGTCCCATCTTCCCTTCTTTCTCTCCCATCTTCATTGTTATGAATCCATCTATATTCCTTGTTGTCTGCCATTTTCTCTATCTTCAACAGGTACACAAAACAGAAGAGATATGATAAAAGCCTGGCCATATATTTACAGTATGTTGCAACTCAATATTAGTCGAGCGGATTTCGTACGACTAGGCAAAACAAAAAAGCAAAAAACAAAAAACAAAAAAACAAAAAAAACAAAAAAAAAACAACAAAACAGCAACAACAAACAAACAAAAAAACAGGGTAATTTTGTGCCGTAATCGTACCGTATTGTTGCATGTCCTTATTCAGCGCTGTATATTTACATTTATCTTGTTCTTGTATTACAGACTTGGTCATAAAAATGTCTTCAATCTCATTCATGTACACAACTTATTCAAGTCCATCAAAGACAAAATCGTCATGCTAATAGAATTTCATCCTTCGGTAAGCACTGCACCCTTTTTTAGTTTCTTTCCTTGAAGAAAAGCTGATTTAATTCCTGTATTTTTTTGTATGTTGTAGAAAGCAATTAAGATGTTTCTGGATAATACAGATAAAGTCCCGGTAATATATTCACAAAAATATCGTTTGTTTTAATAAAGATAGCCTATGTTACATCTGGATCACTTCAAACGTAACGAGCGTTAATCTAGATGTGGCTCCGTCTATGAGAGCAATAATTCGTTCGCCCTTCAAACAATGTTGCTGCTTATGTTGGATGCTTTTGTCCTGTGGACTGTCTTAAAAAATCATCTCTGTACAGGCAACATTACATTTAGGGGTATACCGGGGGCGGGGAAGGGGGGGATGCATTTGTCATATAGGATTGCTAAAAATGCTGAATTGTACGTTTGACGACGTTTGGCTGAATTTCTAATGACCGTTATTTTTATGTTTTTTAAAGGTTGACGATGTTGTACGACAGCTTAGCAAGCGACCAGAACTTCAGCATATGGTAAAACTGATATGACTGTAGTTCCTTTGCTATCCATATATAGTTGCTTCAATAGACCTCAAAGCTTTTACGTCATGTATCTTATACGCAATGCATTGTAGGATATGTTTGGGACAAAACATGGATTTATTTTGTTTTCTCTAGAAACTGATCCCACAATGCATTGGAAATCAAGTAGTGACGTAMAAGTTTCAGAAGTCTATTGTATGAAATAGGCTTTACGAGCAAGATTAATTCAATTATGATGACGTTCTCTGTCAGTTGCACTTTTTGTTGCCATTTAACTACTTGTATTTGCTCTTTCTTCGCCATTTCCTCTTCAATTCACCCATTTCATTCATCCATTTTTCTCATTTATGTTTTCATTAGTATTTAGATACGTTATTACAAAAAGATCCTGAAGCTGGGCAAGATTACCATGAGCTCCAGGTAACAACATTGTATTGTTTTTTCTTGTTATGTTATTATTATGCCTTTCATGTTAAGAAAGCATAAAGACGGAGTCTTCGGCTTTGCTCTTGAAAATGGCGTCGATGCTCATTGCTTGCTTATTGAGCGTATTCCACAAGAGTATCCTAAATTGATATTTGCAGGTCGCTTTGTATGCCGAGTACGAACGTGACCGTCTGCTCCCATTTCTACGCAATAGCAACTACTACCCACTACAGAAGGTAACGTCATTATATTCCTTGTTTATTAAGAGGTTTTGTATATTTATTCAGCTACTTTATTATGTCAACATATTTACAAATCCGGTTAGTGAGAATTTATTTCCCTTTTATGTTGTGCAATTGTCGTAGAAGCTTGTGAAACAACTTTGCGAGACAAGTTGCTGGGGTTCGTCAAGAAATTGTGTACGCATAACCTCAAAAAATTGCGAAGAAGGTTGTTGCAGGGGTTTTACACTGTGAAGTAGCTTTGCAAGTTGCTTCGATGCGTTGTGAAACAAAACAAATTTCGAGCTAACGCCTCTTACTAATCATCCACACCAAACTGTAGAATCTCCATCGAAGGGCAAAACCATAGGTTGTAAAACCGCCGAGAATATAGAAAAGGGATTGTTAAAGTCTGCTAACACATAATACTTTGTGTTAAACTTAATTCAGAACGCCGTTATCAAGAGATTAACATCTGACGTTCGTTTTTACTCAAATTGCACATAAAGGCTGCATATGTTTTGCAAGATGCCAACACAGCTGCGTGTTTTGATGATGAGAGGGGGCAATATTTATGTTGACATTGCATTTGATTGTCTAGGCATTAGCGGAATGTGAACAACGGCATCTTATTCCAGAGATGGTCTTCCTTCATAGTGAGTAATCATATACTATTCCTGTGATGATTTGCAAGTTTTATAGACATGGACTAYAGTAAATAAGACTTCACAAAAACCGTTTTTGCTTACAAGGTCGAATGGGAAACAACAAAAAGGCGTTGCATTTGATTATCGAAGAGCTRCAAGATGTGGAAAAGGTTGGAAACACGATCAATGCTGTTTAGTATTGATTGCTTATTTAGTGTTTATTTTTTATGCTGTTTCCTACATGTAAATGGTTTTTGATGTTTTGCTGTTTAAGGCCATTGAATTTTGTATGGAGCAAAATGACGAGGATTTGTGGGAAGATCTTATCAAATGTTCACTCGATAAACCAGGTAAAGTCAGTCAACGGTGGTAAATGATTTGATAGTTGTTACCCGACCCGGTTTCCGTCTCGTTATGAGGTGAGGTGGCATCGGAAAGCATCCCAGATAACGACCATGACGGTAATAGATACTGAAAAAAGAGACGATCAGTCGCCTGAGGCGGAAAACTCGTTTTTGATGCTTGTAAAACGCATCGAGGTTGACCTATCCATATTTTTTATCTGAGTGGTAAGACGCCCAAAGACACAGAAATCAGAGCTGGGGAGTGATTTTGAAAGTGGCATTTGTGTCAGTTTCTCTTGAACTCAAAATTACATACCTGACAGAACACTTTTCCGTCTGCCGTAAATCTCTTGTCACTTGTGTGAATACATCCAATGATTAGTATATGAAATCGCACGACCTTGAGTACAATTTGGAATTAATAGTCTATTAATGACTATTAATTCTAAATTGTACGAGAGGTTGTGCGATTTTTTGTTTATAGTACATTCAACTTAATTAAGGAGTACAATTATTATATGTAATAGGACTCCATGCTGTCCAATTAAGAAATAATTGGACGAGGAAAATTCCGAGGACTGCCAAAAATTGGACGAGGCCGTGGCCGCATGGAGTCTTATTACCTATTAATTATATAGCCACATATTGATCCCAAATAGGTAAAAGCCAACCACAGCTTTTAACAAAAACCCAATTGAAAACCTGTCCAATTAATTTCTTAATTGGACAGGATTCCAAAATTAACGAAAAATCCAGCTTTTACCTATTTGGGATTAATATGTGGCTATATAATTAACGCTGTAATTGTACTCCTCTCGACCAATCAGAATGTATTATTTTGTTGAATGTACTATAATGATTATAATAATGATTATGAAGCTTAATATGAAAATGTGCGAAGACCACTGCAAGGGATGGTGTTTTTAGTGATTGTTACTAATGCTGATGATGTAAATATTCTTACTTACCGTAGCCTTTATCACGTGTCTTCTGCACAACATTGGTACCCACGTTGATCCGATCAARCTTATCCAGGTATAACCATTACATATTATGTTATCAGTTTTAGTTTCATTTTGTCCCGTAAAAGTGTTACTATATCACAAAACCATCAAGTAACGTTGATCTAGGGGGGATAGGTGGAACGAGGACCTGGACATCGCTTGTCACAACACCAAAGTTTAATTTACGTTGATGTTATTATTGTCGATTGTTCTTGTAGCCTTGTTGCTTATATTTTGTAATTTGTGTTGTTGTTATAGCCTTGTTGCTTATGTTGTTGTTGCTTTTGTTGTTGTTTGTTGTTGTTTAAAAGTGATGTTTGTGTTACAGCGTATACCTGCTGGTATGAACATTCCTGGTCTACGAGACTCGCTGGTCAAAATACTTCAAGATTATAATTTGCAGGTATTTAACGTAACTAGTGTGAAAAAAATCTAGCGCTATACTAGTAGTAGTATAGAGATGCTGTTTCCATCAAACCAACTACGATCATCATCAATATCAGTTCTCTTTTTACGCCAAAAAGGCTTCCTCCATTTCCTTTTGTTCATAGCTGCTTCCCTCGCTAATGCAGAGATTTTTCGCCCCTCCTTGTTGTGTTCCTTCGCCAACATTCTTCTCCAAGTTATTTTATTTATTTTTTTTAGATTTCCTTACGTGAAGGGTGCGAGAAAATCTTGGTGAAAGACAGGTAAGAGAGGGCTGTTAACACGAAACATGATGGTGGATAAAATATGCGGTTCACTTCAATAAGGAATGTATTACAACGATGATGATGACGATTTATACATGAACATTTTGATTTGTAGCGCGTCTCTCATGCAAAGACTGAACAAAGTGCAGCAGCGAGGCGTTGGTGTTGATGGTAAGAAAGTTATGCTACGTTTATGACCGTTTTCTTTTTTAAACTTTCGGGATACGGTCATCGTTGTCAGTCTTTTCGTGTAAAAGATAAGGTATGCTTAACGTATGGAAAATGTGCGGTTTTAAAATATCCGGATACGTGTAGAAGCAGCGCTTGTTTAAAAAGCCGAACTTCGCATRTGTCGAATTTGTTTATCCAAATGAGATTATAGTGAGAAGAGGCAAAATATCAATGTAATTGTCTCCTTCACGGTTACCTGCGCCATGTTGAAGGGTAGCCGTGCCTTTGCATCGAAGCGAGACGACCGTTGAGCGTGCAATGATAGAAACCTTTCACACCTGCAGACAATTATTCACAGGTTTCTATCATTGCACGCTCAACGGTCGTCTCGTTTTGATGTAACTTTGATGTAAAGGCACGGCTACCTTTCAACATAGCGCAGGTAACCGTGAAGGAGACTATTTGAACTGAATTCGGAACATGTGATATTCGACGTGTTGCCTTAGCTTTAGTTTATATGATTCAATTCCTTTTGCTGAATTTTTCATAAAGGCTGATTCGAAATCTCTAAGGAAACGTTTTGTATAGATACAGTTTAAAGGTAGCGAAAATAATGGGATTTCTTAGATAAAAATGGAACTGAACCGTGGGACCTTTAAGTAACAATGTGCTAAAGAACAAGGGAACTCTCTATTGCTCTGCGGCATTGCAACTTCCCCACATACGAATGTCTTGGTTTTCACACTGATTATGTATCCATCTGTGGGTAACACATTTTTGAAATAAAATGTGTTTAAACTCTATATTCTGAAACAAAGTTTCTTTTSTGTTAAAAGCTCTTATCCAATCATAAGCACTCAAAACAATAGCCAAAAGATGCTTCTAATTTGCTATGTTCCCCACATAGAATTTCCTTAATATTGAAGCTAAAGAAAGCNTTCATGAAAGCGAAAACAGACATTAAATAAAATATTAGAAAATGCGCTAACTTATGTGAAATAGTAGCAGATTTTCATGTTTTAACCAATGGGATGGATGGATTATACAATGCACAATTAGCACCTTCTTGCATTCCTTTGCCGTTTACTTCCCTAGTTCTTACTCGGGGCATTACTTAATTTATTAGAACGTGTTCGCATAACCCACTTTTTAAATGCTAATGAGTTTTGCTAATATTCTAATGAGATTGGCACAAGAAACAAAAGAGCAAAACATGCTTGAGTGATTTCAAAATATTATTTTTTTGAGCTCAGTTCAATAAATACACAATTTCAAACGGAAACATTTCTATTATTAAAGTTAACCAATTTCAACAGTTATTGGCTACAAGATTGAAAATTCCTTATTTTGAATGCCAACAGATCGTTTGTTTTAAGGGGTTCATAATGTTGATTTAAATTTTTTTAAATAAATTGGGCGCATGTGAAGAATTATAAAACAAGCATTGCAGACTTCCACAACCCGTCGATACTAGAATCAAAACCAATTCTGGACAATGATGTCCGTTTCAGACGTCGATGTTTTGCCGTGTCTAATCTAATTACTTGCACTTGTAGTTTACGAGAAGTTGAGATAGCTGTATAGCTTAAATAAAAATGTTTCCTTTTGAAATTTTGCATTTATTGAACTGAGCTCAAAATAGTTTTGAAATAATATTCGCTATTGAAGACACTCAAGCATGTTTTTGCTCTTTTTTTCTTGTGCCAATCTTATTAGAATATTAGCAAACTCATTAGCATTTAAAAAGTGGGTTATGCGAATACGTTCTATTGACTGCTCACTTTGTTAATTGCAGATGAGACAACTTGTTCTGGGTGTCGTGCTAATGTTATAGCAGAAGGTAAATTAATTGCCATTTTAGTGTACTATAACGACAACGTCAACAACAAACAACAGTTACAATAGCTTATCAGCAAATTCAATGTATCCCAACTTAAAAGTATGAATATCCAATAGCAAATATACAATAACGATACTCACAACATCATCAACGACAGCAGTATCACATTACTAATAGCCGTATTGCCTGTGTAGCACCCAGTCCCTTCCCTTCCATCTCCATTTCTTTCCTCCACTAGAGCTTCTGAACAGACTACAGTAGCTCTGTTAGCAGATTAGTGGCAACAACAAAAGCAGGTGTAAAAACGACAATCTCTCGGTTTTTATATTTCCTTACTGTGCTTGAATTCCACCCAAAACAACAGCATGAAAAGTATCAGTTATGATCTATTTAGTAACGTCAGTAACGAAAACAATGCTATCAGCAGCAACAGCATCATCATGATTGACCGAAGCATTCATTACCCAACAACAGCAACAGTAACATAAACAACAATAACGGTATTCATAGTGAAATTGCAAAAKAAATAAGAACAGTATTGGCAGTATAGCGTTAGCATCAAGAACTGAACCATTCTACAACATCTCATTGACAACTACAGTAAACAACGCCACAGTTTATTTTAATGAATTACCCTGCAAGCAGAACGTTCTTTATCCTCTATACATAGTGAAAGAAAGAACAATAGAGGTGGGGTAAAAAGAACATTCTACTCACAGAGTATCTATTGAATGATGAGAACATCAGAAACAGCAACACTAACTGTTGAGCATAACAGTGCAATGGATAACATTTTTAATAATTCCATTGAGTAAGCACGTACTAGGCTGCGAGGGAACAAAAAGATTTGAATTTTTTTCCCGGAACTTCGTCTTAATGCATTTGTGAATGGCTAATCATCCAAAATATTGAAAGTGGACTATTCTCACTGGTTATTTATCCTTTAATTTACAGATAGTCGCAATGCGTCCAACATCCTTGTGTTCTTTTGCAAGCATGTCTACCACGAGGACTGTCTTCCTTCTGTTAGAAATCTTGGACCCTTCTGCCAAATATGCACAGGCAAAACGCAAAGATTACGAACAATAAAAAGTCGCAGTGGCTCAATATATAAATAGGAAGAATTTGCAGAATATGTTAGGTAGAGGTAGGGTCATATTTCAATGAAATGGCAYTTTCTATTCAGACAGAACTGGSCCATTTATAAGGAAATAATTACTGATATCGATCGTAACCTATTGTTTTCCGTCTGTATTAGACCAACGAATGCAGACAGAAACAGGTTGGCCAGCTGCAATATAAAAAATATTGCTGTCTGCTTCAAAACAGACAGCAATATTGAAAATATTGCAGAATGGCTTGCAGACAGAGTTTTTTAAGAAAACTACTTATCAGTCCTTACAAAGACACAGCATCCATTTAGAAATTATCGTTTTTAGTATCGAACTTTATCTCCCATGCGTGTGGGATATTATGTTCCATATACTAAAAAGGCAACGCRTGCTCACATAGTTTTGAATTTATGATTTTGCATGTTTTTGTTGTTTTTGTTGATTTTTAACCGCTACACAATCTGTTTTGTGACGATTTATGAAGTTATTGTGTTTAGATAAATAAATTCACGACAAAAAACTCTAGTTCGAASTTCGTTTAAACATTCATTATTGGCTAGTAAGCTAGAAAGAAAAAAAATGGATTTTTTGATAATATCAGTAATTATACTAGATAATTTGGCACACAGCATTCGTAAGTATAATGCAGGCAGCTTCGGGCTGCGACCTCAGCTGCCTGCATTATACCTACGAATGCTGCGTGCCTCAGTAATTATCTATTAAATAGTCTAATACCTTATATTATTAATAATGAGATTTTCTCTGTGTGTGGTCAGTCAGCTCAGATAAATGGAAAGCGGCCATAAATCCATAATATCAGATAATTATACGTCGCTGTCTTAAAAAAAAAAACAGGATTAAAAAGCAGCGATCTAGAAGTATAGATGTCTCAAATGTCAGGGAAAAGACTGTATTTTAGTATCGATAACAATACTAGCAGCGAATATCAAAAATTTCGTAAAAAATTGACAAATAGCCAGAAAGAATATAAAAGCTAATACAGAAAGTGTATATGGTAGGAAAGCGTTAGTTTCTTTTGACAGAACCGAAAACAGAAACGTTTTATCAAGGAACTGCTAACGAACACTATGAAAAGTCATTGTAAATACATTAATCTTTTGTTGACTAGTCGTCATCAGGGAGAACTGATGTTTCTACTTCAAATGTACACCACACCATAGTTAGTATGACCACACCCTTTACGTAATGGAAGGTTTTTTGAAAGTCCTTTCGTATGCCAGTACTTCTTTTATTTACTTACGTTTCAGCGTAAGTAAACACTTCGTTTTTGATGCAAATTAGATCGAAACAAGTTTCCTTTTTCAAACAAACAAGGCAGCGTGACGGTTCAGTGGACTCAAAACAAGCTTACTTCCGGACACGCTTATTACGTTACAAAAACAATGGTGCGGGGATTGACGTAAAATGTTAGGAATGGGTGTGGTGGTGATTTTGAATTTATTAAGTATTACTACGTAATGATTGATGGGAAAGTTATAGAAATTCATGTTGGTTTGTACTTAAAGTCGTCATTCTAWACAAAATCGCTTTACTGATTTGAMAGAGATGAATCGAAATTGAAAAGGCTTTAGAGCAACTTTTCCAATGGCAATAAAAAGACGCTAGTCTAATAGATATCAATACAATAAACAKGGATGTCAATCACTATAATATTGTAATGAAAATGATATGTTTAAATAAAATTATATGATATTTATATTTGGAATTGAGAGACTAATTTTCAGATCATCGGTCATATCCTTGTGGTCAACCACATTAATGTCCTAGGAAGTGCCCAATTAATTCCTTGGCTTGTTTCTTGGCACGTATAAATTAGTGTCATAATTTTGCGTGCTTTCGGAGTTGTCTGTTGGTTGGTCACAGCCAAATTTGGAAGCCTTGCTTTGMAACCGCCGAKCCTATTTATGGTCTCATTTRAATTTTTAACGTCTAGAAGCAAGTGCTATTCTTCAAATTACTAGTACAGCTAGGAATAACTCGAGCTTAGCATTCAGTTTCGAAAGTATAAAAYAATCAACGAGTGGATGATTAAGTAGTTTGAATTGGAGCTGAAGTGGAAAAGTCTCAAGGCTTCACGAAATCTGTTTTCTTGGCACTTGCTTTATCATCATCTGAAAGCATTATCAAGGTACGAAAACATATTATTCAATCGTCATCATCATTATAGCGTTATCACTTTATCATCTGTTCAGGGCACAACCCGACAGAATCCCGATGCCGACGGGGAGCCCTCGCGAGGCAATCCCGAAGGCGGGGCGATGTAATAGTGGACTTCGCTTGTCTGTGTGAATGGATCTGTCTTCTTGAAGTTCAAATATTCTATTTTCCTCTGCAGTYTGTCTTGTTGGCCTGCAAGAGCAACTTTCTTTCCTACACCAGTAAGTTGAAGTTACTAAAGTGAGCATGCAGTGTCACAGAATCTTTATCATAATTGTAACTTCGACCAACTCTGTGTCAACTTCATGTGACCTCGTTTGTTTTAGACTGACTTGAAAGTGATAATAATTCACGACTTTTCTTTCAGTTTGAAGTGGATTTTTGACCCTAACGCCAGAACGTCGTGTAGAATGGAGCTGATTTTGGTAGTAGTCAGCCTSTTGACGTTCGTTTATGTTAAAAGCTTTAATATTGATATAACCAAGCCTGTTATTTTCGATCATCCCAAGTCTACCAAAGGCAGTTATTTTGGATTTTCCGTGTCCCTACAYTCGAACAACAAGAAGTGGTTAGTATGTGCAGAATGCTCCCTGCTTTGATGTCCAATTTTRACGTAAATCTAAGCTTGTGTATAACTCCAAGTAAACTKGCCGGCAGACTAGAATAACATTGCAGAGCATTGGAATTTGTAATTGCATGCATGATTAATGTAGTTCAGTTCAAAAACACGCTATCGCTTAACTTTATTCTGATTGAGTACTAYATAAATAGCGCCTGTCCCACATATGCTGTAATTCCCATTATTCTWAGTTGTTTAATAATTTAAACAATTTTCATTCAAACAACCAAACATTTAAATGTTAACAAAGAAGCAAATTAATTGATTCATTGCCATAGCTTATTGTTATGGATTTGGAGTGTTTTGTGGCTTTATAAAAGAATTTAGTCTTATTTTCTTGAAACATGCCACATCCTGCATATCAAATAATGTTTGACCTGATTTGACGGTGGGAGACTGTGTGACCTGTGAAGGATTTTCCTTTATTTTGTCGTAGCAAAACGAAAACATCCTAGCCAGATACCAGAGCAAGTTTTGWCTATACCCAAACGTCTTCACAAAATATTATATYATTTTTTTGAAATTTGTTTGTCAATGAATTTAATCTAGAGATAACTTTTGGTCTTTTTAATCTCTTGTAAATGTCACTGTCACTAAGTGTTTATTTATATTTCTCATTTTCGACGTCAATCGAAACAATTTAGGCTGTTAAGTTTTGACTTGTTGTTGTCGAAGTTTTGTTCATGTTTTGTTTCTTGTTGCTGATTTTGTAAAAAAATATAAATAAATATTAAATCACTCAATTAGCATCAACAAATTATTATTTTTTTACTTTTTGTTGTAATTTTAGAAGTAATGATGTGAATAAGTCAAGGATTTTTTCTTGAATAATTGGAGACCGAGTGCTGATATTACTACGTATGTTCCAGCAAATAATTAATTCTGTGGTTTCTACCTCGCTCAAAGAGAAAGCATAAATTACAACGATAATTTTTATCATTACTAGTGTTATCAATATTATTGATTATTATTTAGCAAGGATGGACTTTTGTGGCTATCAATTATATTATTGCATTTTAGCACTTGCATTTCAGCAAGGATATTTTATTGATTGAATAAAATTTGTAAGTGAATGTAAATATTTTGCTTTAAGTGTTGGTTCTCTGTGGAATATCCTTAGCAACCTGTCTCACAATTACTTTTTGATACAAGTTTCTTTAGAATATTATATTGCAGAGTGTAGTAGGATTGTCTTGTACTTTAAAAATTTGTTGCCACATTTATCATTGCACCAAGTAGGACTTGGGTCCAATGCAAAGTACATCACCCTACCCCCTCACACCAAACACATTTGATGGCTTCCAGTTTATTTGAATGTGCAATTTCTTGACACTAGTCCCTGTTAACTTTAAGTAAATCTCGCAAATTATTTTAAGGATGGAATATTGTGCAATATAAGTAAGTGTTGCTCAGGAGAATAATAACTTCATTAGCAACTTAATTGTTTTGCTACAGCTGTCAGTAACATAATGACATTATTCACAAGTTCTCATGTACATATTTTATCTATTTTTTGTTGCCAGGCTRTTGGTTGGTGCTCCTCTAGATGATGTACCATCTAAAAGTGATAGCAACCAAATACTTCAAAAATATGGTGCCATATACAAATGTGATCCAACTAATTCACAGTGCTCTTATATACCCATAGATAATACACGTAAGGAACAAAAAAAATATACTTTTGTTTATGTATAATATATGAAATATGAGCTTGAGACTCTTAGGGTTATTTATGAAGCTGCCAAGCTGCAAGTATGCAGTTTTAATGCCCATAAAGGTCTGATTCAAATATTTATATTGACTATTAATAAAGCATATTTTGCATTAAAATTTGTGATTATAGAAGATATTACATGGGCATGTGGATATATACAGATTTTATCTTCAAGTGTTGAAAAGATCACTCAAAAGTGAGCTTGGCAAGATTTTCAACACGAGAAAATAAAATTTGTATCTCCAAGCAACCATGTAATATATTCTGTTTATCATATAATTGTAAATAAAARTAAATTATGTTTTAAAATAACTTATAGGTATWTTATAGATAATTATATGATAAGAAGTTCTRTTTTTAAGAGAAAATCAAAGTTAAAGTTGTATTGCCAATCAGGACAAATCTCTTGCTCATGTAAAGATGTRATCATAGCTGGCAATGATTTACCATTGTGCTTAACCTTATGAATTATTAATGAATTTGATGATCTATTGTAACTATATTATTTATGATATTTTCTGTTTGCTTCATAAAGCTGTTCAAAAGAGAAAATATAAATACCAGGGCACCATTAAACAATTAGAATGGGAGAAAAAGAAAACTCAGTGGCTCGGCCAAGATGTTCACAGTTCAGGAAAAAATGGAAAAGTTGTGGTAAGTTAATTGGRCTCTTTTTTTACTGTGAAAAGATTTGACTTAACTGTGCAGTGTTGTTGATCATTTGATTTTTATACCATCAAAACTGCAGTAAGTCAAAAGTTCAGTTTGACTGGTCAAATTTAAGATAATTTTTGACTGGCCAAGCTTGATATATTTGCTAGACACTGTCCATGCATGCTGTGATGATCATCTGTTTTTGTTGTGCTTGGCAGGAGACGATTGATGTGTTGTTAAGAGAGAACATTTTGTATTTATTTTAATAGTGTGTATTCCTTGCTTCTGCACTGTAACTCACAGTATATACTGTCATGTTTTCTTGATTCAGAGTTGAACTCTGTAAATGTTTTACATGCACTATTCTCTGTCTGTTTTGAGTGTRTTGAATTTTACTGATTCTTAATGATTCTTGCTTGTAAATTTGCTTTCTTGTCGAATGCTGTAGACTTGCGCACCAAGATAYACAGAAACTCCACCAGACAGAGATGGTACACTGCAATACCAGTGGATTCTTGGACGTTGTTTTGAAGTTCTTAATGATCTCAGTGATAGCAAAGTCATTATAAGCCCATGCCAAAACAGTAAGTTAAACAGTGACTGTAGAATCAATTATAATTATAATTAATTCATTGGATTTAATTCTTTTAAAATTGTTCCTTATATAGAGTCAAATCACATGATTATTGCATGAAATTCTGTGTTATATTTAGAGCGTTATGGCAATAATTACTTTGGGTACTGTCAAGCTGGTTTTAGTGCAAGATTGACAGCAGATGGTGAATATATAGTGATGGGTGCTCTTGGTGTCAGTAATTGGAAAGGTTAGTTCAAWACAACACAACTCCAGTAGGGGTATCGAACAGTAATCTGAGCCTCGCCGAGCCTTTGGGCTGAACGAGTCCAATATTTTGGTGATTGTGGGCTTTCAAGCCAAAAGCGATTTTAAATCTGAGCCCCTTTCTTTTAAGCACAGTGAACTTGCGAGACTTGGTAACTTTTTGGCGAGCGATTTCTGAGACACCATTCTACACCCCTTCCAGTAATTAAGGCTGGTTTTAACTAGACATAATTAGAATAGTTGTAAGCATGGATGGGCATCCACATAAAAAGAACAAAACTCTAATTTTTGTGCTATACATCCAAAGAAAATCTATTGTGCTTGCTCATCATGTCTATTTACATGTATCAAAGCCAGCCTTTAAGGACTGTTTTGTTTTCTTCTGCTAAAATTGAAATTAAAATTCTTCTATTRATATTGATTGCACAGTGACTATTCCTTGAAAGACTATCATGATCATATCATCATTCTCCCTTTTGTCATCAGAGTTTTGTTGCTAAATCTGTCATATTCAATCATGCATGGACCCTCATGCTGATTTAATCCTCCTCTGCAACTGATACTTTTTTTGCTGACAATTCATCATGGTTTACCCTTTCCATCAGTCTCCTCTCCCTTTCAGAGTACAAACCACAAAATGGCCACAAAAATCCTCTCAGACTCAGATAT